AGAAATCATCTCCAATAAAGTGCTCCAATGTACTCCAACTACGATTTATCACCACGAAACGCTCCTGCGGTCGAAAGGAAAAACACACATTGTGAGCAACGCAATAACTCTACGAATGAATATGGATCGCAAAATATCTCGGAAGCGTGTACTTAACATCATGGATTTCGTAACAGCTTTCATATCGCCACGGTTAAAATAAATAAATTGTTGAACTTCCGCTCGCGTAATCATATTAACGAGCAAATTAATGCTTTGCGAAAATACGTATATTCAGTCACCACGCTCTTAAAGAAGCTCTTAAAGAAAAGCTCATAAAAACCAACGTGGGATAAAATCTGGCTATGTGATTACGACTTGGTCAGCTCTGCGAGCGTAATACGTCGCAAGAGACTCAACTTATAAATCTTCTATTAGAGAGATCTTACAGGAAAAGTATCCTTTTACATGTGAAACTTTTAAGACACACTCTCTCGCAATCACTCATCTAAAAATTGGCTATATCGATCAATGCTATTATACTGATTACAAATTTAATTGTCAAATTATATTAACGGTAGAATTATAACGTAAACAAGCGATGTAAAGTAACCGAAATAAAATACGTAATTGTTGCTAGTACAAGATTCTAACTACCTTAATGCCGTTGGCGTTGGTACAACCAAAATTGATTGTATGAATTGTATGTACGTCCCTGATAAATTAGATAACACGACCATTTGACGGAATTTGTTCGATAGAAAAAAAAAACACGAAAGCGCGCGCGTGCACATGCATGCATGCATGCACACATAAATTGGAAATACGGACACAAATAAGTATATAAAGACATAAGAAAATTCTTTTTCGAAGAAAAAATGGATGTATTCCGCAAGTTATATATATACAATGAAATATGTATATATTCATATATATATTTCATCATGCCTTCTTTGTAAACGTACATACACAGATAGTTTTGCAAGAAAAACCAGTTGTGTATATTAAATACCCTTAAGGATAGAAAAAGAGTCAGAGGAAAAAGCCATTTTTAAAAAATTCGTTACAGTTTATTAAAAATCCTAGATAAAAGGGCTTCCAAACTAATAGGTTTTTAGAAAAATAACTTATTAAATCGCAGCGTACTCTTTTTATGATATTACAATCCTTATTGCAATATCTATTTCCTAGATTGTCCTGTTTCATTATACGACAATTAACACATCATACAATTCTCCTTTGAATAATTAATAGAGGTATTAAAACAATGTTCTGAAAAAAAATTATAGCTCCTTATTGCAATAAAAAGAAATTATCCTTTAATTATAGTAACTGAAATATTTCATTAATTATCAACTTTATAAAATTTATCAGAAAATTTTCATAAAAACCAAAAATAATTGGCTTCTTTATTTTAAAGTATAAGCATGACTGTCAATTTCTTTGTAAAATAATTTATTTTAAGAAAATGCATTATAATTTGTAAAAAAACTTCTTCTATGGAAATTTAAAAAAATAAATACTTTGTAAATTTGTTTCCTCGCCATTGAAAGCAATTAGTTTGGCTTTTATCTATATAATAGTGACTATGGGACCAAAAGGTTTTAATCTCTAACTTTTTTTCTATCGCTAATATTTTTCAAGATACATGACTTTGCTTTCTATAAAATGTCCTGCAGATATAAAATATCTCGTCAAGGATTATTCGAAATGTATTTATATGAATACTTTGTGATTATATAATTAACGTTGCAAGACTAATCAATACTGTTCAACGTTTTATCAAGAAACATTACGTTACGTTACTTTATAGTAAATCAATTCTAATACAGTAAAAAAAAATAAACAATCGACAGATCTTGTACAAATATAAGTGATATATATTTACACAATTTCGCGCGAAAATTAGCAAAATCTATTTTACTCTATTCTCATCGAAAAAAAGATGAAAACAAAGACGAATGTTCATTTTCATTATTAGCTTAATTGTAATGTAAATATAATGACTGGCAATAGATGGCATATACATGTTATACGTGGAATTGACGATAATATTTTAGTCTTCGAATTATCATACCTATAGTGTTTTATTTGATTTTGCTATATGCTGGCAACTATTAATCGAAAATGCGTATTACATTAAATTTGACAAAGTTAGCAAATATTCTAATTTTTCTTCTCCGAACTTCCAACATTTTTCTATTTAATATCATCTCGCGCTATATTTAAAATATTTTATTCATTTTTACATCTTTCACACAAATTAACAATTTTTAGATTAATAATTAAATTTTAGTGAAGCAGTTCGTGTATATAAAAAGTCTGAAATAATAAGTCAACATAAAAAATAATATAGAAAATGACAAAATCATACGATCGCTCATTCAGGGAAAGCATTAGAGAAAGCATTAAAGAACATTTTTTTCTTTGGCTCTGTAAATATCATCTAAATATCGTAAATTAATTATTACAACAAATAGAAAGACTCTTACTTTTTAAATAAATAAATATAGTCTTGTATAATATACATGTACAGAGGTACAAAATTTATTTAGAATCTATCAAGACTGCACGTCAGTACCTCCACATGCTGTGTCTGTAACGTACTGTCCTTTATAATAAAATAATGATAATAAAAATATAATTCCTATTATTGTATTTTCTACTTTTGTTTCCCACGTACACACTTCCTTCTATCCTAAACAAAATTAAATTATTGAAAAAATACCCAAGCAACACGATTACATTTAATAAATGTTTAAAAATGTTTAGCCAATACGATTTTATGATGTATAAAAATACGTTCGTTAAACGTCGAAATGTCTCGTATAAAAGCGATATTTTAAACTACTAAAAAAACAACATTAAAATTAACGTTTAAAAATATATGTCCAAAAACTTTTTAACATAAATTAAATGTACTTACATTTAAATTTCATTTGTATAGATTTAAAAACTGTTAAAAATTGTTAAATAAAATATTGTTTTATTTAAAATAATTAAACAGAATTAAAAATTAAATATAAAATTTTATAGAAACAAATTATGTATGTAATCCTAAAGAATTAAATATAATTACAAAAAAAAGAGATTGCTGAAATAAAGAAAAATATTATGTTGCATTCTGATGAAATGGAGCTCCATTATTTTACATAGTTTAACTTTGACAATAAAATAAAAATATATATGTATAAATATGTGACTTTAAAATATGAATGAAAGAAATTATTAAAAGTGACATAAGTTTAACTCTGGTCTTGATTTGTTTTAGTTCTAAAAATTGAATCTTTATTGACAGATTTAATTTTTTGTGTTGACGCCGAAGAAATTGCTTTACATATAGAATCTAAAAAAAAGGAAATTAATAAAATTAAGTGTAATAAATTAAGAATAAGATAAAATCAAAAATTATATAAATTTATTAGATTACACAATAATCTATACAATATATGTACATATATTGTACGTTACGTTTTTTAAACTAATTTAGAAAACAAAAATATTTTATAAAACTGTTTTTAGGCAATTAATTTATTCTTTTACACACGCACGTATACGCGCGTGCGTGTGTATGTGTACGCGAATGTAAATGAATAAATTACCTAAAAATGATTGTATAAAATGTTTTTATATAACGTTTTTAAAATAGTTTAAAAAACGTAATAAATTTATTTTTCCAGCTTAAACGGTTCAAATTAATTTTCAACATTTATTAAACGTATTTTTAAACTAACTGGTGTTGCTTGGATACATATATGAAAAATAACATCTCCTCTTATATTTAAAATGTTAATTATTTATTATACATTGTAACATTCAATATATTTCCAAGTATGAGAGAGAGAGAGAGAGAGAGAGAGAGAGAGAGAGAGAAAGAGACGATAATTTAACTATTATAGCAGATATTTATTATCCAGATAGCAGACAATTCAAAAAGTATTCATTCCATGTCATCAATTAATTTGTGAGTTAATTTTCAGATTCAAAGAGAATTCTTTATTTAAAAGTTCTGAAAAAGAATTCTTTTTGCATCTGAAAATTAACTCAGAAATGATTATCACATACGACTAAATTCTTTTTAAATTCTCTATGCTATCTGTGTATTGCCCAGACAGCACATGCACATCATGTCCAAAATCGATCGGGATATCTGCACATGTCTCATATTCTGATTTTGAATATACGTGCTATTGCTATCTGGGTAAGTAGAACAATATGATGATAACATATATATATATATATATATGTGTGTGTATGTATACATATATAATATATGCATGTATGTATACGTATGTACAGCCATGTATGTATATAATTCTACTTCGGTATAATTATTATAAGACTGGAAAAATAGAATAAGTATAACAATTCGATTATATTAAGATCCAAAATTTGTATGTGTGTGAACAAATATTAATAGTTAAATATCTATATTATATATTGTGTAAAGTATATTTATAATTTGAATAAAATATGTATAATAATTATATATATATATATATGTATTCCGAAAATTATATATCTATAATTAATTGAATATATCTATTAAAATAATATCGAAAATTTTATCTCAATATATATGGCTATAAATCTATGGTTATAAATATATTAATTAATGCAACATATATTTTTATGGTAATTCATATATTAATTATATATTTGTGTATCTCATACCTGCGCGAAAACGTATTTTTTCGTAGAGTAATCCTTAATTATACTGATGATCGATATATATATTGAACGCAGTTCTGTGGTTAATATTAATTATTTAAGGTACACGATTTCATGCTGACATTCGACGCTGATTTTTAGCGTCAAAACAGATCACATGATCCAAATGAATACTTGATTCATACGACAATAGAGAATCCACTCTAGAAACGTTACTTCTAGGAACTTTAGTCGATGACATTTGTCCATAAAAGATAAATGTTATTGGGCATCTGTTACCGGACAAATGTGAGTTTTCCACATTTGTCCATTTTATAGTGAAAATTAGATTTGTTTAGTTAGCAAGCCTGTTGACATTGCCCGCTGCTGCCCTGCTATCATTTTCGTGGTTAGGTTAGGATTAGTGTATATGTGATGCTTTGTTTCCGTTATTACAGAAGAATTGGATAGAAAGTGATAGCTTGCGATTGATGAAAAACGGGGAGTAGTTAATTAGATTCTTCAACAAATGTATATTAAATCGAGACATGACACAATGTTACAAAAATCATAAAACATAAAAATGAGCGACAGATATATTCATCGTCCGCGTATCGCTTAAACGTGATGAAAATGACGTATCCCGGATTAGTATTACTTGTCGGAGTTGGAGTTGGAATAGCGACTTTTCTGTATTATGTGTTCACTGAAAATAACCGCACGGATGGACAATCGTTATCGTATTCGAGAAACAGAAGATCATCCGAAGACCACTATGACGACCGCTCTTGGTCAACATCGTCGCATCCAACTGAAAAGTATTCGATACCTTTATACATAAGTATCATTACTTGCGCACGTTAATAATCTAATATCATCTGTGATTTTCTCTTCTTTTAATTTACTCTTCCATCTTTTCGCAGATATCTCTTCTGTCTATCTTTCCTATATTAGCACTTGGTTTCTTTTTTTTTAATAATTCCCTGTATTATGGTAGAAGAACGATTGTGTTTCTTTTACTTTTTTTACTTAACATTAAAATACTATTTAAATACTACATATTAGAATACTACGCGTGTTACATATTGCATGCTTCTACAAGAAATATTTGCTTTCAGTGCACTATTAAATAGAAGAAGTTCATCAAATTCTTCGAAAAGTAAAGAAAGAAGAGACCTCGCGACAAGTAAAGATGATATAAACAATTGTTCAATCTGCCAATATGCATTAGTTGATTCGGATGTAATACAATTGCGTCCTTGTAGACATAATTTTCACAAGGATTGCATTAATGAATTGACAAAATATGATCCTGGGGTAAAATCCGAAAACGTAGATTAGACACAAACTTTTGAATCATGCATACAACATTCATGATTATACTTGTTTATGTTGCAGGCCCTTTGTCCTAATTGCAGAAGAAAATTTAGGCCCGCGATATAAATACGTCGTATATATATGCAATACTCTGAATCATTTTTTACAGTTATTTATAAATATTAATTATTACATGGTTGTTTCAATTTTATTATAGTTGAAATGTTTGCGATATATTTCAAGCAATACGAAATGCACAAATCTTTTAACATTAGATATCTCATTGTTTTTCTCGCAATCGAGAAAAAAAATTATATCTACAGTATTGTACACATATGTATTTCCAAACTTTTCTAATTTTTGATCAAGCGCTTTGCAGAAAATAGAAAATACATTTTTTCTTTTCAATTATGCTTGTAAAGTTATATATTACATATAGGGCTTTGAAGATATTATTCTAATTCTAAATTTATCTTCCAAACGATTACATATTTACAACGATATCTGTCTGTTGAGAAAAACAACAATACAATTTACAATAGTAAAAATACACAAGTCTAGAATTATATAAGTTAAAGATTTATGATTGCAAAATCTGAGCACTTTCTATCAAACAAATATCCATGTGTAACTAACTATCTCTCCTTTTATTATCGATCGACTCGAATAACCTGTCGTTCTGTTAGTCGCTAGAGAATTACGATTTACATCCAAGAAATATAATTATCTCCGATTAAAATAAAATGATAAAGGGATTTCAGTTACATTTACTTAGTTAGGAGACAGGAAATTGTATCTAGCGAATGGTACTAAGGTAGTTGACTGTGCTATATATAAAAAATTAGTCTTACCCGTCTTTATATAATAAAGTAATTAGCAAGAGAGATTACATATACGATTATACAGATATACACACAATTATTGTACGAATATATCTGACAATTGTATGTGGATAATTAATATATGTATAGTGATGCGTAATCGATTCGCTTTCCTTTTCGTTTATCATAAAAAATGAATTCGAAAGCTCTTTCGTAAAGTTTCAAACGCAAACCGATCGCTCGCGCGCCTGGCTACATGGATCCCGCAATGCGAGATGGTGCGTATGTGCGAGGCGCGTGTTCTGTAACGTTTGTCTAGTGAACGGCATGGAAAGCGAGGTAGTCGCGCTTTGGTCCGGGAAGCGTTTCCGTTCGGTCGATGCCGAGGAGAGAATCTCCGTCTCTCGCGTCGCTGCAATTTTTCTCACATATTCGGTAATCACATAATCTAAGAATGCGGAAAATAGTGACAAGAAAGAACGCGGATCGGTGATTATCGGTCGCGTTCCTCCTATCAAAATGTACCGATGGAACGAACATGACAGGATTATTGTTCGTTATACTTATCGTAACTCACGCGGTCGCAGGATCGCGACTATCCGCGGCCAATGAAAAACGAGGTATGTATCTCTCATTATACATCGATATAAAACTCTACGAGTGTGTAGCTAAACGAACATTTGATCCGTCCTCTTCTTTTCTTTTCTTTTTTTTTTCAACGCGCGGGCACAAGATGTGTCAGGAGATTTTACATCCGCTCGTACGATTTACTTCAAAAATTCAAGTATACCTTAATTATTTAAACGAAACGAATCTCATCGTGATTTAATATAAATGTCATAAGACACATAGTCGATTCTTGATTTATTCGATCGATCGTGAAGCGAATAATATTGTTGACGATATCGATCGTTCTCTAGATGATAATTGTTAATATAAAACTGCGCTTGTAATTGTAAGAAGACTTGGAAGAAGAAAAGTATGCTGTTTATCGAATTTATACCAGTGACGGATTGCAATAAAAATAAAATTAATGTTTATTTACGTTTTCTGGATATCGTTTATCCTACCCTTTTTTTAGATAGTACAAAAAATTTATTTAACAATAGCGATCGAATGATCAATCTGTCGAGTACTATGTGATTGTATTGTTATAGAATAGAATAACGCGTGGACAGAGAACGATGGAATGATATCAAATGATTGTTGTGAAATCAACGCGCGTTTTCGGCTATTATTTATGCCAAGACCATTATGAATTAATAATGAAATGCACTTTACGTTTAAAACTCTAAAAAGAAGCGCGACGAAATCGGTGCAGGAGGATGCGTTCTCCTTCCATAAACTGTACTCGTCGCGCATTTATTCCGCGTGTGCGAATACAGGTTGCAGAGTTAAATATCGGTTGTCCCATTTCTGGACCGGTTCCATACACGATCGTCGAAAGAAGCAAAGCGAGTTGAACTAGCAGATTGAAACGAGTTGCCCGCGCGTTAATTTTCGATTTTGCCCGTGCACACAGCCTATACTTGCAGAGCTTCTTTAAAGAGTTAACGATCCTTAATAGTAGCAGCACATTTCAAAACACCTAACCGATATCTGGCGACCGACGTTCTGGCAACAAACTTACCTGTCGCTGGTCGCGCATTGAATTATGACGTGCTAATAATCCGCTCATGTATCTTGGACAGTATTTATATCGAGAGCTACCGCGCGCGACAAGAGCCTCATCCCTGTATAATATGCAACCGGAAACTTGTAAGAACCGCGCTTAGCTAAATTAGATTTGAATCTGTGATCCCTGCGATAAAACTGTACGTTTTAAGCAGAATTTTTGCTCGTAAAAATTATACGTTCCCGCACGTCCTGCTACGACATTTGTAATCTGCCGCGTAGTCCGATCGAAATCGACGGGGTATAATCGATCGTTCTTATAGAAACGACGATATTTTAATTTTGAATATGGCGAGAAATAGAGGTAACTGATGAAACACCCGCGAAGTTTGTTTCACCTTAGACTCGCATAATGGGGTTACGAGAATCTCGCGTTGACCTACGTGCCCGTTTCTCGCGATACAACGAGAATGTGCAGGCACTTGAACCAAGAGACAGAGATGCGCTCGATCCCGCGCGCGCGCGCTTAGGTATGCCATGTGTGACATGGCATGACACGCGCAATTGGTATATCGTTACGTCGCGCATTCTCTAATACTTGCAATGATGAAACATATATTTTCTCATTTATCGATCTTACTGTTAGTAAGAAGATTGATACGAGATTGGGCACCTTTAGTATGGCTTGCGCCTGGAGAACGGTTCTTGCCTCTCGGTGTAACCGAATTCCTGGATAACGTACAATCGGACCAGCATTACCTTCGCACTAGAATAGACGTAGGTAAATGTTCGAAATTGAGTTATCACAAATGATATAACGAGAAAGATACATATATATATATATATATACATACGTGCGTGGCTATATACATGCTGCGTGCGCGTGCAAGCGTGCTTGTAGGATAAAATGTGATTTCATAGTATATAATTTATGTCAAGTTCCAATCGCTCTGATTTTGACGTTTCAAATAAAAACGATTTTTTGACAGAGTCCTTATTAAAAAATCGATCGTCCTTCTTGTACGGTCGAAAACCCGCTGGAACTGTACCCGTCTATGCTCTCGTGAAAAACTGTGTTTCCAAAGACGCGCAGCTACGCGCGGCAAGAAATAATACGCCGCGGATGCCGAGGGCATCTGAGGAACGGAACGCTTTCACGTTGCAACAGGATCCAGGACTTTCGGCTCAACGACAAACTGCTGCAAATAGCATCAATCATGATTTAAGAGCACAAACTATATCGCGAGAACAAATGCGGCAGGTAAAACACGAAAAAGCGATATAAAGTAACGCGATAAAACAAATACGATCTTTCTCTCGTAATTTTCGCAAATTTCGAATTATTAATTAAATTTACCAAATTTACATACTACCGCCAGCTGTTTCCTATTGCTTCGAAAAATATATATATATGCCATTTCAAATCTCAATCTCATTCTCTTTTCTTTCACGCGAAACTAATTTCAGGCGGCAACAGTGCCGCGATTCGATAAAGTCAGAGAAAAGAATGGATGTCAAAAAGTGCACTTTCACGTGACCTATTGGATGTTCTATCCGTTTAGCGAGGGAAAAACAATCTGCGTATTGGATCTTGGATTTTTTGGTAGCTGGCCGATACCTACTATTGGTGGCGTGTGCATAGGTACGCTTAAAGAGTATGGCAGTCACATTGGAGATTGGGAACATATGAGTCTTTATTTCAAGGTAAATCATCTTTAGCATTTTTTCCTCAAAGCAAATTTTTCCATCACCATTAATTACCATTCATACGCCTACCTAAATATGATATCGTCATTTAGGATAACGAGTATCCTCTGGCAATGTATGTATCGGCACACGATGCTGGCGCATTTTATCAGTACGATCCGCGAAATGGCACTTTCATCTACGAGAGTCAAGAAACGAGAAAAGGTCTTTTCCAGAAGCCAACATTTCCTGAAAAGGTTTATACCGCTGGTGATTCGCATCCGATTTTATTTAGCGCACGCGGATCTCACGGACTCTGGACAGCTCCGGGGAAGCACAAGTTCGTTCGAGTACCTCGTTTGTACGACGAAAGTGGATTTGGAACTGCTTGGCCGACATGGAAAAGACTGGAATTGCTCTTGGAAGAGGATAATGAGCCTTTACCAGGCTGGATGACTTTTAAAGGCAAATGGGGTAATCCCAGTAGCAATTGTCATCCACTAGCAAGACTAGGTTTTAACATTTGCGAATTTGTGGACGGTCCAACTGGGATTCCTATGAAAAAATTCAATTTTCGATGTTAAGACTTCCTATCCCGTTAAAGACTTAATATTAAATAAGATTTTCTGAGACGCATCTTTCTGACTCGAATTTTAGAATGAATGAATGTGATGATATACAATACATAAGATAATAAATTGATAATGCGATTTTAATGAGAGTACCAAAGATGGTCGACCGATAACACGAGATAGAAGTTTACGTTTCAGTTTATTCGAATAATTAACCAGAAACTAGAGGAAATAAAGGTCAATAAACGAGCAAAGATGTTGTAATATAATAGTATAATTTTCTTCAATAAAATTAAGGCCGGAACGTTTCGGCTTTACTGATTGTAAGTCTTCTTCAATCGTAAATACAAAATTTCAAATTATAATTAATTACATTTATCTTATCTTTACATTTATTTAGTCGAAGAACACGTAACGTTTCCTTTCTGTGCGAGTTATAGTGCCAAGATTTAAAATCGTTGCTCACCTCTTTTTTGATCTTTTTTTTTGGCAGTTGAATTTGATTATTATATATGGCCCAGCCGGCAACCAGTCTAGAAGTATGTAAATTCTATTCCAACGAGGTCCTCTCTTCGGTCAATGTCTTTTTGACAACTCGAAACGTTCCGCCTTAATTTTATCGAATAAAATTATATAATCATATTACATCTTTGCTTGTTCGTTCATTGACCTTTATTTCTTCTAGTTTCTGGTTTAGTCTAAAATACGAATAAATACGATTAATCTTAATCTTCATGAATAATTGAAAAGTAATTTAGTGCCTGTGTAAACATATTTATTTTATTTAGCGGAGGCTTCGTTGAAAATTGACATCGATATCGATCGATATAAAATGATAATAAAATAGGATTTGTTTGATACAATTTGCGCGTACATAATTAGCAAAGAATAAATGCGGCGTTACAGCTTTTGCGGACATCTCGCGCATGATATATTCTTAAGAGTAATAGGCAAATTATCTTTTTTTACGCAGCATTGGCCATTTACAATTGCATTGCTCTCTAGTCTGAAGTTGTAAAAGGACCTTTCGACTATGCTGATTCGTTCGTTCATTCCAACTCTTACTTAGTATTCAGCACTTCAATACTTAAATATCCATCAATGAAAGATAGCTCGATAATAAGCAACATTACTCAGAAACATCGTCCTCGTCGGTTCCTTCTACGGCAATACTGCGTATACCGTTTCTCAATAATGGTGTACCCTTATCTTTTGCTAAAACACGTGCATTCAGCACAATTTTCAGTGGAGTACCTGATGGACAGCACATCACTTCAACATCCTCCTTCAATATTTTCTCCTTATATGCAAATAGCTCTACTTTTAACCTGATAAAAGAATCAATTATTTCAACAATTAGATCAATTTGAAAAGAAAGCGTGAGGTATACACTCGAGATGAATTGTGAAAAATATATATATGTAACAAGTCTTGTTTGTACCTCAAGCCATCTTTTTCTTGCGCAAAATCGACAATGTGACAATTTACATTGTGATTTCCTGCAATTACCGCTGGGGCTACCGTTTTTTCTTCTGGATGAATACATGTGTTCCATGGTACCGAAAATTCTATGTGATATCTAAAACAAAAATATTTTGTATTTATATATATATATATATTTATATATATAAAATATTTAATATATCCCCTTTCCCTTTCTCTATATGTTCCTGTATACATTAATTTTAATAAGTTAATAAATAATCGTTATTATGATAGAATTTAAAGTATTTTTAGTATTCAAGGTAGCTATCAGACTTATAGACAGGAACACAAAATAACATATCATTCATAAATTTCATATAGCAACTAACCTGTGATACAATTGCAAGAACCCTAAATGAGCATCTATATGGCCGTGTCGCTGTGGCTGTATCATAATGTTGTTATCTTTTCCAAATCCGCTTCCACCGCTAAAGTGAACATGATGCTCTAAACATATAGATTTAATTTGTACAATATTTTATATAATCGCTACATAAACAAAGCAAAGATAATCAAATACCTTTATCTCCCATGTTCCATAAAACAATTTGGCAGATTTGACAGCTTTCCTTTCATACTGTTTGAGAACTAAATTGACGAAATCAATTGCTCGTAGTATCCGTCCACTGCATGAGAAAGTCTATAGACTGAAATATAGGTTAAGGTTTAGGGTTTTCGAGATTTTGTTTAGGGCTTTAAAAGTTTCGTTTAGGGTTTTAAAGATGTCAAAAGTGGACACTGGTATTATATATAGTCACGTGTCGCGCGCGTGTGTATTACCGAGATTGGCTTGAATCGATCCAGAGTAATTAATACGTACTCAAATCATTTTTTCAGAATTCAAAGAAAATGGATTAAAGTATACACAACTTCGAAATAATGTAATGCGTCGACTTTGAAATATCACGATATTTATCATATTTCTTGTATTATCCGTAAAGATATAAGCGCTAATATACATATATATAAAGATTAATAATAAGAGTGCAGACTAAGGGAGATAAGCCTAATAGAACGATGCATGCCTAAGCTAAAATAATTAAATTTTATATAAAAATTTTGTCTTAAACACATATACTTTACTAATTACTTTTTCTATCTGACGCTATATGTGTATATTAGGTATCTTTGGAATGAAAAAAAAAATATTAGGCTGCAGTATCAATCTCGCATAGATTAACGGTTCATATATCTTTTGCAACTCTATATATAATTAAAAGTGAATACAATATTGCCAGGAGATCATGGCATAGCAGCACGTAGGAAAAAGGTGTGATTTATTAAATCTGATTAAAAAAACATATTAAACTTGTTTATTTTGATTTTATCTGAACAAATTTATAATTGATTGACTGCATATATATCTCGCCGCTTCCGTACACCAGTTGTAAATAACAAAAACTGTTTCAAAATATATGATATCCCAGTAACAATAAAATATCATTTTAGCAAAATAGTTGCATATATATAATTAATGTACGTCATTGTGAACAAACTTCGACGCACATTTAGAAATTTCAATAATATTGAAATATGTGAAATATCAATATTATTGAAATTTGCAAATGATATGTTGCGCTAATATTATTATCAGAGCAATGTAAAATATTTTGAATAATATTATTAAAACATTTTTTTAATAATTTTTCAAATATTCGAAAATATATCATTTAAATAATATTTTAAAATTATTTATAAAATATTATATAAGAACGTTAATAAAATTCATGTATAATATATATATATATATTTTTTTTTAATATTGATTTAATGTTGTTTTTTTTTGCTTTATTGTGAAGTTCTCACAACCTTATATCTCACGGATGCCCAAATAGTTTCTTCAAAAAGTCCAGATTTCAAGTTTTGACCATTGCTCGCGGATCAAACTATCAAAGTATCAAAGTATATAAAGTTTGCCCAGGGACTACCATGTGAAGTGTAGTCTAAATTTTATAATTTAAAATACGATCGCAGATCGAACTGAAAAGCTGCGCGGAAGCTAGTGCCGATTGCCCAGATGGGCGTTGATGAACAATGGGCATCCGTGTTATATTTATTTATTTAGATTATCATTTTTTATTTATTTAGATGATCATTGGATCATACCAGCTAAGGGCTTATCCAGGCAAACTAGCTTGCATACTTGCATAATCATATATATACATAAAGAAAATTATTTCAATCGCATTTTACGTGTGTTCTTGCAATAGAAATGCGATTGGATAATTTTCTTTATGCATATGGATTATGCAGCTTTGCAAGTTTGTTTGGATAGGCTCTATAAAGGAATATTCTGTCGAAGTAAAAGTAATATAAATAGTTAGAACGAAAGAGAGTCTTCGTACGGCATAGCTAGTTCAACACGTTTCGATCGAATAAATATGATAGGTATTAACAGTGTCGAATTAGTAATTAGATGTTGACATGTTAACACGTACGTAATTATTTAAATATATTACAAAGTTACATAATATTATTTTGATTTTACATTTAGTTTAACGCGATAAACTGATTTCGAAGAAATGAAATTGCAAGCTGTACGTTTTATGCCAAGACTAAACAGATGTGCGATATAAATGTATGTTAAATCATAAATACTGAACACAACAATTCCAGCATCAACAGTATCAAAGTTCACGATAATGAATCTTGGAGACCGCAAGCTGTCCTTGTGCGTCTACATTTTCGTTTGAATTATTCGCCAGGATTATTCATATAACGAAACGTATACACATACTAAAACATGGCAAAACGTCGGAACTATCGCGCTAAATGATCTTTTTGACGGGAGAAGGACACCTATACTTTATTACCGTGACAATATTGTATCGTATATGGAAGGAAATTATATAAAATCGGCTGTATAATGATGATAATGACGTGTGTATGTGTGTATATGTATATAGTATGTGTACCATGAGATAATCGACTCTCAGAATAATCAAATTCTAATCGGCGTAACCGCAATAATTCCAAGAATATTGCATATGTGCTTTCCGGCAGACGATACTCATCTTTAGATGAAGCACTTATTTCAAGAATAATTACAAGAAAAACAGCGAGTTTATATTTATTACCGGGGAAATATCAACCAAAGTTTCATTCTTATATGACAGGAAGTAGCTGTATTTAATGATCTCTAAAAAAAAATTGCACATTTCGTTCTAGGTTTCTAAAAAAAGCAATATAGAAACATTATAGCTTTCAACGACGTCTAATATATATTATATACGTTGAGATAATAAGATAGAATTAATAATTCTGAAGCATCAATAATCTCATCTGCACGGCATTTCCTCGATGAATGTCAAATTTTATGTTCTATATTCTTTGTCGTCGTCGTGTCATGTCATCGTTGTGTAATTATAAACAATCAGCAATCGTCATATACATTATTCTGTCACCTCGTTAACAGCCTGTTCTCTTTGTTTGTTCCATATTTGTTGCAAATAAAATTTACGTAATCTTCCCTTCCTCTCGCACCTTTTTAATATTTAATTTAGCAAAAATTCAGTACTTACAATCTGTTTATTTATCTTGCAACATGTGAAAATTTATTATATTACCTATAATTAGCTATAATTGAAGTAAAAACTGATCAGATTTCTTATTTGTATAATATGCTGATTTTTTTATCTAATAAATTGTCTAATAAATTGTTCAAATATGTAAATGTAAGAAATGGACCTTGCTATTAGTATTTATTGCCGAATATTAATAGCAGGCTTTCAAGACTCGCAAAATGTATACGTGTTATTTTTTTGCCATTATTTCGCTGATTTATTGCTTCCTCGGAGGAATAACATAACATGAGTTCGAGTATTCCCCCACGCATGGTGCTAGAGAAGGAGAACACTTCAAGGAGAACACATCATCATTATGTTACAAACTATAAAAGCTTAGGATACTATCTTGTGATTAGCCAGAAACTCTTTGATCACTCTTTCGTCTTGAACTTCATCGCGTCGAAAAGAAAAATCGAACATGAAGACAATCGTTATCGTGCTTGCCATTTCTTTCGTCGCCGTCTTGGTAAGATTGTTACATCTCTACTAATAATCTACTGCTATTTTCTCTATAAAACATCTTGCAACACGTTTTTTATATAATCAGTTTTCATTATATTCATTTCAATCCTATCAGACTCACTATTCACATACACTCTTAAAACTCTATTTGCCAAAGCTCTCTAATTTCTTTATAATTTTTCTAAACTATTTTAAACTGCATACTGTTTCTTTCTCCATATAATTCTTTCATATAAGATGTATTATGAAAATATTTTTTAATCGTTTGAAATATCCCAAATGTATAGGCACATTTTAAAATACATTAATTAATTATGCGTGTAAATAATAATACTCAAATTCTTATTTGATTGTAGGGTGAAATCACAGACGAACAAAAGGCGAAATTGAGAGAGTATAAAGAATCCTGTATTACTGAAACTGGTGTCGATTCAGGTAAGTGAAAAAAATAAACTAATTGCGTGATTAACAAACTAAAATAATTACATCAATAATATATATAGATATTCGAATTTCAGCCGTAGTGGAAAATGCAAAAAAAGGAGAAATAGTTGAGGATGAGAAGCTTGACTGTTTCGCTACCTGTTTGTTGAAGAAAATTGGAATTGTAAGCGAGAGACTCCTATCACATTCTAATGTACATTAAGAAAATAAATTTAATAATAAATTAATTTCTACGCCTGTTCTAGATGAAAGAGGATGAAGATATTGATTGGGATGTAGCTCGTGGCAAAATACCAGCAGGTGTACCGCAAGAACAAATCGATCAATTATACAATGCATGCAAAGACATTGGTAAGTATAATATGAATTTAACAAGAGGCAAGATTTAATTTGATCCATTTATAGAGCTGATACATTATCTTCTCAAACATTTCTCTCGAATGAAAATAGAATTAAATATCTAATGTTTTAAATTCTGTTTTAGCTGGAACTGGTTGCACAAAGGGAGCTAATGTGTTTAAATGTCTCATGGAAAACAAGCATTTTCATATTTTGCATTAAGCAAACGCAATCGAAAATCTCTGCATGAAAATAATTCGAATTAGACCTATTAAATAGATCTATCGGTTGTCTACTTTAGATGAAGTTATAAAATATTATCTTGCACATTTATACGTCAGTATAAAGTTGTATTGATGAAAAAAATAAATATACATGTCGCTTTAGCATAAAAAATAAGTCTCTCTCTCTCTCTCTCTCTTTCCATACTCTTCGCAAATATATGTAATTCTAGTTGCAACAGTACAGAACATGTAAACATTAAATTAACTGACAATACAAAGTAGTCTAACAATAAGTTATTCAAGAATCAATATAAAATCTTAATTTTATATTAAAAAGAAAAAACTTATTAAATATAATTCGCAGCGAATTTAAATTTCCGTCAAGTGAATTTGAAACATTTGAGTCTCTATTAAACAAAGAGTTGTTTGTATCTCCACTAAATACATAGGTACATACATACATATACATACGAATCTCTGCCAAATTGGTTCGAGTCCCCGCTACTAATACATATTTTGTAGGTTCGAGTCTTTACTCTTTATTGATTAGTTTGAAAATATCCGCTTTTGGATTTGAGTCTCCGCTAAATAAATTCTAAGATCTCTATTAAATAGAGATAGGTATATCTTTGCTAAGCTGATTGAATCTTGCAAAAATCAATATTAGAAACTCGTCTATATTATAAAAATTTTGTACTAAATCTAAATAATTGAAAACGTACAATAATGTTAAACATATTGAATGTTTGAGGTTTTATCCATATGCATATGTATAATGTATACGGTTAAATTGTTATAATAAATTAGGTTATGTAACTTCTATCAAGTGTCTTTATACTTACATATAATTCTAAAGTATATTCCAAACGTAAAAAAATGACGCAAATAATAATAAAGTGTTTTATTACGAATATATATGTATATATGAATACATTTGATTAATCACTTTCTCTCTCGAACTCGAGTCGAATTACACTCTTTGACAAGCTCCGTGCTCTCAGCGCTCTCGCGTAGCTGCTCAGTATTTGTGCATGCGTAGATAGAACGATTCCACGTTGTCACGTTGTCACACGTACGTGCCTGCTGATTGAAGAACATGGCTTCGAAAGAAAGTAACCTTTCCGCATTGTACACGGAATTAAATAAATTAGGACAAAATGGGGAATATGAGAGGGCTCTAAAAACTGCAAACAGAAGTAAGCTAATTTAAAACTAAATTATTTGTTAAAATATGGAAAGCAAAATAATGCGACAAAAATAATTGGCATGTTTATTCGTTACTGTCAGAATGCTTTCATGTCATTTCATACTTTCGTAAAATTACGTTTATATCACTCCTTCGGACCACACAGATTCGAAAAGCATTCTGAAATAAGAAAATGTGTCAATTAGAGCATCATGAGGTAATTCACATTCCGTTATTTTAGTTTTAGGCATCTCTCAAGATGAAGAAGCAGCGTTTCACTGTAAGATTATTTGCTCCATCCAGCTGTCCAAATTCAATGAGGCATTACAACTTATTGTTAAAACTCCCAAATTGGCAACGTATTGACAATATTATATAGCAATATTCATATTATTGTATACATACATTATTTTATAAATTTCTATTTTTCCCCTCTAATCTAGAAATTTGGAATTTGAAAAAGGGTACTGTCTGTATCGTTTAAATCAAGTTTCTGAAGCGTTAAAAGTGATAGAAAATGTGCAAAATCCTTCTCTAAAGATTAAAGAGCTAAAAGCTCAGATATTGTATCGTCTAGAGAAATACGAAGAATGTTTTGCAGTATACAGAGATATAATTAAGAATTCAAATGACGAGTATGAAGAGGAGAGAGAAACAAATCTTGCGGCTGTTGTTGGAAACTTGGCAATTGAGGGTTCTGTAAGTCTCGTGTATTTTTCGAAAAAGAGCTTAATATTGAAATATTGATAGTTTTAACGTGCAAAGGTATTTTCTAGGATTTAGAAGTTCCTTCCTTACGCGAACATACTTACGAGTTAACGTACAATGCAGCATGCCGTTTACTCGCCCAAGGAAGCAGAGATGATAGAGCTATTTTATTAGAGGCAGAAAAGAAATTGCGAACTGCTGAGAAAATGTGCAAGGAGGGATTGGAGGAAGATGGAGTATCCGAAGAGGAGATTGAGAATGAATTGGGTGTAATTCGAGTACAGCTTGGCTACTGTTTACAATTGCAAGGTCGAGAAAAAGAAGCGCATGCATTATATATTGCTGCTCTAAAGGCCAAGCCAGATGATATTGCATTGGTCGCTGTAGCTAGCAACAATCTAGTATGTCTGAATAAAGATCAAAATGTCTTTGATAGTAAAAAGAGAATGAAAAGTGCCACTCACGAAAGTCTAGAGCACAAATTGACTTTTAAGCAAAGAAGAAATATCGCATACAATCAGTGTTTACTATCATTTTATACTGATCAAGTAAGCATGTTATTATATACATTAATTAGTGTTGTTATTTAAATTAAGATGACTCGAGCGTGATGACTTATATTACATATTTTCTCAGGGAGAACAATGTCACCAACTGTGCAATAATCTTGCGAAAGATTGCATTACGCTTGCAGCAGATGCAATGTTCGTAAAAGCTGTACAACTTAGTAAAGAAGGTAAACCAAAAGAAGCAGCCAAACTATTAATCGAACATGCAGTCGGCGAAAAGGAATTGCCGATGAAATTAGCCAGTGTGCAATTACTTTTAAGCCAAGATGAAAGGAAAGATGCAATCGCTATTCTTGAAAATCTAAATGAAAGAGATAAATCTCTACCTGGCATAGTTAGCGCGCTCGTTACACTTCACTTGGCCGATAACGATTGGGAAAGAGCATCTGCCGCTCTCAAAAATGCAGTCGCTTATTATAAAAAGAACAAGGTTGCATAATATGTAGATATAACATCGTTGCATTTTCCATCGTGACATTTTTTTTTTACTTTTAATAAAAAAATTTATTTCAGGAAACTACCGAAAATTTGGGAGAATTGTGGCGACAGGCTGCTAATTTCTACTTACGCGGTGGAGAGCTTAAGATGGCTGCTGACATTTTGCAAGAATTAGTAGACGCCTCACCATCTGACACCAAGACTTTAGCTCAATTAGTAGTAGCTTACGTACAGTTTTGCCCTACCAAAGCACAGTCATTATCCAAAAGATTACCGCCGCTTCACGATCTCGCAGAAACAACAGACGTTGACGCATTAGAGAGCAGTAATTGGGTTATCGGGACTAAAGTAATCAAGAAAAAGATCGAACCCTCTCCTGGGTAAATATGATTACTTCAACCTTATTAACTTATTTCAATTTGAATACTTAAAAATTATACGCATTTTTATTTCTTACCAGCAAACCAACATCAGATGTAATTCAAAAGAAGCATAAGAAACGTAAACGCAGGGGTAAGCTACCAAAGAACTGTGATCCAAATGCTGTACCAGATCCAGAGCGATGGTTACCGAGACACGAACGCAGTGGATTCCGTAAGAAACGGGATAGAAGAAATAGGGATACCGCTATGAAAGGAACACAGGGAGCTGCTACAGGAGCTAGCGATCTTTAGTACGTACTCCTATATATTACATATATGCTGCATTACTGTAAATGTACGATGAATTAATTATTAAAAAAATATATTTTTGTATTTTTACAGCGACATCACTAAAATGCCTGCAAATGCTAAGCCTTCTCCAAACCCTCGTCATAGTTCCGCAGTGGAAACTTCTGGACCCCGTCAGCAACAACGCAAAGTTCAACAGAAAAAGAAGAAGAAGGGTAGCAAGTGGTAACGATTCTCATGTAATTCCACTAAACTCTCATCATTTTTTTTTATATTAAATAAATTAAAATTAGATTGCATAACCTTGCATTGAAAAGAAACATTTGTTACCGAAAAATACAAACTGAAAGAATAATCAAATCGATTTGCTACCATGTAGCTGTATTTTGTGAAAAAACGCAAGATGTAATACTGCCATTAAAAAGTAATATTGTATGCACTACACACGTGTGTATTATAATGTTAAGGAAATATGTTTACAACCTCTCCATCACTGCACTGACACACGTGTGTCAGTTTATTATACCGTTCACACACGTATATATATATATATCAACAGATTTTAATACGTTTAATGCATTTAATGCACTTCTATTAATATCTATCAATATCTTTTATTCTTACTAACAATTTCTTTCTGTTATAAACATTTCTTCCTTTTTTGCATTTTACACATCTGTTTTAAAAAGCTCGACAATGTTTTTATATAGGCAACATGCAAATACATTATAGACAATATTAAATTATGCTTTAGAAAATATTTTTATTTCACTTTTCTCACAAAAGATCCTCTTAATCAACTCGTGACATGTTAAGAAGTAAGTAACGCATCTTTTGTGTATATTGACTAGGGACAAGTGATATATATTTATTTTCATATTGATAACAATTGTATATAAAAATACAATCTGTTCTCTTTATACTCAGCAACTCTGTAATATGAATAGATAATGTGATTGTGCGTTGGTTTGTAACATTTGTATATGTAACAGACATAAGTGGCACAAGTCAAAACGTAAAATAGTATGTTACAATATTATTTTAATGCCACAATATTTTCGATAATATTTCTATATTGATTATGTTGTCGGATGTAAAATATCTTGTAAAGATATATTTTGTTTGAAATATCGCTATATAACGATTCGATGTGCACGTGAAAGAATCTTGTTACTAGTTCTAGTAAATAATGATTAAACTTATTGTCCTGCGATACCATATACTACTATATATGTATCATTGTTTGTTGCTGTGTATAAACTCGCAATAGTAGATCGATCATTTTGCAAGATCATTGCAAAATATTTCATTTCTTCTCTTTTTTTTTTTTTTTTTTCTATATGTTGTCTCATTACACTTATAATTTTGACATCAAGTACTAATTTTAGTAACTAAATCATCGCTCGCTATTATATATTATATTTATTTAAATATTGCATTCTCTTGCATGGAAAGATGTAGAGGACACCGTGAATGGGCGCACCGCTGATATCGTCTTTACTACTTTTTTTCCTTTATACTCCACTACATCTATATATATGTAAAATGATATTGTCTCAACAATTTTTACAAGATAATTATTCGATTAAATAATTAGATACTTACTAGCTATAATATTTACATACCAAATTCGTTTACTGATAAATTATCGTTGATCTTCTGTAGCAAAGCGGATAAATTGGCAAATTGTGGGAAAATGTCCAATTTCTTGTTTATCAATGTAACGAATAGACACGAGTAAGGCACAAATATACGCATGCGCGCTAATGCGAGAATAACATTATGCGAGCTACGATGAGCTATGCCAACCACAATAACGTGAATGCGTATAATATATTATGAGGTACAAATCCTTATAAATATTCTATATTAATGATATATGATGAATGCTACTTTGTAGGTATTATGCCCTCCCAAACATCCTCTCGTTGTTTGTTGGCTAATCGTCTTTTCTCTGCAATGCAAAAATCTCTTTGGAGATCATTTCTTCGATACTTATTGAATTATTCTTGTATCACGTATATTGTATAATAATACACATTCAAAGATTATTACCTTTTGCTTCACGTAATATATTCTTTTCGTGCTCACGTTCTTGTCTAGCTGTAGCAAGCTTCACACCCAATGCACCTGTAACTAATCGTCTAGCTAAGGCGGCGCATGTTTCAGGACGATTCCTATATGGTTGCAAATATTCTGCACTTCTTCTAGCTTTTGTTTTACTCAAAGCGGTAGCTTCGCTAAGTGGTCTCGTTTTCACAAATGGATGATTCGATGCTAACACTTCGGCAGCTTAAAGGAAAATAAAAAAAGCAAAAAAGAATATAGCTAACTGCGATAAGTCTGATTATAATTGGGCTTATTAGAAGGAAACTATTTTCAATGATTATCATGATAGATATTGATTATTATACTGTTAATAGCAGCACCAAAGATGCAAAACAATCGTAATTTCTATTTTTTTCAAATATAATTTCCTTATTAAAATGAATTATTAAGCATGTATATGTATACACATACCAACAAGAGGACTGCTGAAAACTCCCAAACAATGAGTATCGTCCACCCACTTGAGTTCGAAACCACCATTCTTAAAAGAACTGAAGACAGCCGCCAAATCGCTAGTTTTGAACTCGGAAGGAAAATTGTAAATTTCCACAATATGTGCAAATTCATCACTTGACACTTCAATTTGTTTGCTGTATGCCTTGTAATCGTTCTTTGGTTGTTCTATAACTACTTCACCTACTGCTGATGTAAGCTAAAAAACACAAAAGACAATACGTAAATAATTGACTAATTATATAAAATGAAGCAGGCAAATGCGATAAGAGTTACTTAATTTAAATACATAGCATATACTGACCTCTTCTATTAACGTTGGATCTAAACAGTCGCCATTATCGTCAAATAAGCTATCCCAATCGCATTCATCTCTATTTATTTTTAGAGGTGGAGAAGGTGGTGGAACCGGTTTGCTTTTTTGCCTTTCTATCTTTTTTACTTTTTTCTCAGGTGTTACACGAATTGGAGAAAGTTGTTCAGACTGTTTGGGTTTCCTTCGAGTAGTATCGGAAATTATTAGAACATCTGATACTAAATTCTGCCTAACTAGTTGTCTATCTTTATCGTCAATTACATCGTTACAACTCATATACTCGATTGAGGATTGATTTTCTTTTGTAACTTCTTGTATTTTTCCTAATTGTTCGTCACTAATTTCAACTTGGTTGGATGATTTTAAAAAATTGGAATTAGTACTGTTTTCGTCCAGATTATTAGTTGCGACATTAGTTTCTTCCTCTTTAGATAAAGTTGGCATATCTTTTAATTCTTCCGAAAATTTATATATGTGCTCGGCATTACTAATAGTATCGGAAATTTTTTCAGAATCTAAAGAAACTATATTTTCTGAAATATCTCGTGGGAGATGTTCATCCTCGATCTTCGTGTTGCGATTCTCAAAAGTTTGATCATTTGAGATTGTATCGTCTATATTTTGTTGACTACAACATACATCTTGTAGTTTAGAATTATTATTCATTTTTGAATCTCCATTTAATGTTATATGAGAAACTTTCAGGCTTTGCGGCTTTTTATCTTCAGTTTCTAAACTTCTGCGAGGTCTAGGCACGTAAACCGCTCGATCAGGTCGTTTTTGACGTACATTCCTGCGTACATATACATATATTAATAGTATGTTTTGCAACAGTTAGTATTGATTGTGTAAAATCATAATGCTGACAAGAGAAAGATGCGCTGACTGTATACAGATCATACGAGAATATACAAGATATGTATGTATTATGTATGTGTTGTGTATGTGTGTGTACACATACACATAATGTCCCGTTTAAATTTCTCCAAGCAATATCTCGAAAAATACGTAAGATGCGAAAAAACTGTTTCAGACGTAACGGTGGTGAATGGTGGTGGGTGATGGTGGGTAAAAAAAAAATTTTTATTTTAAAATCAACTGATATAAGAAATTATCAAAAAAAAATTTTTATTTTAAAAATCAAATGATATAAAAAATTTTCAA